CCAGTAACGTCTTGTTTTTTATCGTCCAATCAGATGTGGCCCTCCAGATACACCTTCCGTATTTGTCTGCAGAGATACCCATTTGCGTGAGAAGGGTTCCACTGGAAGCGATATGTGCTACTGCGTTATGGGCTTCCCCAAGCACATTCACCATGTTCTAAAATGTCAACATGGCCGCCCCTCATCCTCTGGATCAGGTTATTCTGCAAGGGTCCTCTGGGCCTCTCAGTGAGGTATGTGCTCAGGATTCCTTGTGACGTTGTTGGTATTAGTCATTCAGTGCTTTCAGCACCGCCCTCTGGCGGTCAGTAGAGATGAAATAGAACGAAAGTTACATATGTAACTACGGTTCCCTGAATCCCAGATGACCGCCAAAGCTTCACTGTTACTCAGAATCCTTGCATTCCATGAGAAGATTCTATAGGAGCAGAGCCGAGGGTGACGTCAGGCTATACGCCCTCTGGTTAATCATCCGACGTGTCACAGCTGTGGATATTTTGATATTACTACTCGAACAGTGCAAGCGCGCAGGGAACATTCAGTGCTTTCAGCACCGCCCTCTAGCGGTCATCCAGGATTCATAGAACCATAATTACATACATACGTTTCCTGATGCATGTTCAATAATCCAGGTAGAAAAATCTAAAAAAGTTCAATCTGGTCCTCTGGACATTCAAAAAAAAAAAACCAAACAAAGCAAATCAACAAAAAATGTAGAAACGTTTCGTCTCTCATCCGAGAGACTTCCTCAGTCTGAGGAGCTGTATTCAGCTCAGTCTCTTAAATAGCACCGTCTCAGGGTGGATCAACCAGTTTTGCTGCTGACAACCAAAACCAGCTGATCACATGCTCAAGAAGGACCATCAGCCTAACAATGGATCATTAGCACACTGATGGCTGTTTACTGTTCACAGAGGGCTGAGTGATACTAGCAATCACAGCATTGTAAGAGGGGGACAGTTGAACCTGGAGGCTCCACCCCTGTTTAATGATGGACGGTTTCTTTTCACAAAGATGGCCTCCTTTACTCCTCTCTCAAACCATCGTTCCTCTCTGTCCAGGATGTGAACATCTTCATCCCTGAAAGAGTGACCGCTGGCCTGGAGATGAGTGTAGACCGCAGAATCCTGGCCTGATGATGTTGATCTTCTGTGCTGGGCCATCCTTTTGGCCAGTGGCTGTTTTGTTTCCCCGATGTAAGACTGATCACAGCCCTCCTGACACTGAACAGCATACACAACATTGCTCTGTTTGTGCTGGGGGACTGGATCTTTGGGATGAACCAGTCTTTGCCGTAATGTATTTTGGGGTTTAAAAGCCACTGGGACGTTATGTTTAGAAAATAAACGTCTCAGTTTCTCTGATACTCCCTCAACATATGGAATGACCACTGGTCTGGGTCTGGGTTCCTCCTTTTCACCTGTTGGCTGACTGGAGTCCTGTTTGGGTTTCTTCTCTGCTTTCAGGAAGGCCCAGTTAGGATATCCACATTGCTCTAGAGCCTGTCTTGTGTGGGATTTCTCCTTCTGCCTGGCTCCTGAGCTAGTGGGGACGCTGTCTGCTCTGTGATACAGAGTCCTGATGACTCCTAACTTGTGCTCCAAAGGGTGATGGGAGTCAAACTGCAAATACTGGTCTGTGTGGGTGGGTTTGCGGTACACCTCAGTTTGCAAATGTCCTCTACCAGAGACTGAGACCTCACAGTCCAAGAAAGCCAACCTGTCATTTTTTACATCTTCTCGTGTGAACTTGATATATTTATCCACAGAGTTGATGTGGTCAGTAAAATGTTGGCCTTCCTGAGATTTGATTTTAACCCAGGTGTCGTCAACATACCTGAACCAATGACTTGGTGGTGTCCCTGAAAAGGACGTCAAGGCTCTCTTTTCTACCTCCTCCATGTACAGGTTGGCAACAATAGGAGAAACTGGAGACCCCATAGCACACCCATGTTTCTGCCTATAATATTGCTCCCCATATGTGAAGTAGGTTGACTGCAGGCACAGTTTCAAGAGTTGACACAGTTGTTCTGTAGAAAGTGTGGTCCTGCTGCTCAGAGTGGTGTCTGATTTTAATTTTAAACTGACCACCTCTACTGCATCATCAACAGGAATGCACGTAAAGAGTGATGTGACATCAAAAGAGACCATTGTTTCATCAGTCTCCATGATGACATCCCTCACCTTATCCACAAAGTCCATGGTGTTCTGTATGTGGTGTTCTGAGCTGCCAACTAAAGGGATGAGTACAGACGCCAGATATTTGGAAACATTGTAAGTGACAGAGTTAATCATACTAACAATTGGTCTTAAAGGTACACCTTGTTTGTGGATTTTAGGTAAACCATACAGACTAGGTGTGGCCTCCCCTGGGTACAGTCTGTGGTACAGAAAACGGTCAATAGAGACGGTGCTATTTAAGAGGCTGAGCTGAAAACAGCTCCTCAGACTGAGGAAGTCTCTCGGATGAGAGACGAAACCTTTCTACATTTTTTTGTTGATTTGCTTTGTTTTTTTTTTTTTGAATGTCCAGAGGACCAGATTTAACTTTTTTAGATACATACGTTTCGTTTTATAAAAACAATCACTTTAGTTTTATGACATTTTCATTTGGTCTGAAATATTTACCCAACAAATATATCTCCCATATAAATACACCAAGGTCTTTAATTACTTTAAAAACATTGTCCTCTCTGAAATGTGCTTTAGCAAACTTCCTCTAGTTTTGTCTTCTTATGCTACTTAACTAGCGGTTTGCCACTTCTAGCTAGTCTTTAGCTACTTTTATCATTTAGTTTGTCTTTGGTTTCTTTTACCATCTAGCCAGCATTTTGCCACTTTAAACTTTTACTTAACGTTTTATTCATTTTAGCTTTTAGCTAGTATTCTGCTTGCTTTAGCTTTACCAACTCAATTTCAACTTCTTCAACAGGTTCTGTCAGTTATTCAACACTCAGAGGTCACACTGCACCTGTAAAATGCTTTTGTCCAGTTTATCATTTGCTTTAAATCCATAAAGGTCAAGTAAGGAGGATGTAAAAACACTGATTTAGTCTGACACTGCAGTTGAGCCCAAGCATTCATACCAAGACAAGATAACCAGGAACCCCCCCCCCCCCACACACACACACACACACACACACATCTTCCAATTTGAGCTCATGGCCCAGGACAGAACTTTATGCTACTCTATCACATACCAGACACAGCATGTTGAACTAAGATTAGCTAAAAGGAAGGGTATTTATGCTAGTGATGTAGCCACATGCAGATCAAAAACAGTCCAGTAGATATAATAAACTCAGGGGTCAAATGCTGACCTCCAGCTCCGAGTCACTGGATTCAGGCTGACTGGCAGCTCCGGTCAGAAAAGGCAGCATCGGCTGACCCATCTTTGCCATGCGAGAGATTAGCTTGGCTTTAGTGGCATCTGGATTCTGAAGAAGAGAAGACTTTACAAAATTCAAAAACTTGAATACAGATACAGTGTGGGGGATGGGTTTAGTTTTTGGATCACGTGGTGTCGGTAGTGATGTTAAGATAACCTGTTTGCTCACCTGGTGATTTTGTGAATGAGTGGGTGATGGGGGAAGTTACATTTTTGCTGATCACTTTGCGCTTTACGCCTTTTAATTCTTACCTTTGATGCTGGAACCTGTGGATTTGTACGCTGCTCTGGGATATATATGATTCACGTATGTTTTGCCTTGGAATATGAAGACGCTAATAAAGGAATCATAACTGCAGCTTGAATTTATGTCTCAAACAGTGGGTGAATCAACAATAATTTCCCCTACTCAGCGACTCAGTTTGTTTGACAGTCGCCAATACTTGTCAGCAAAAATGTGACGGCAACGGAGCCTCACGCATAGCAGGAACACTAAGGTGAGCCCACACAACACTGCCACACCTATGAAGTGGATTGTTTGACAGAAAAGGAGAAGATGACAGTGGTATGTAACCTGCGTGTTCGATGCTGTGTATTTCTTGTTTATTTACAGTTTGGTTCTGCCACGTGAAGATGTTGTTGTGACACGTGTATGAACAGATCATTGGTCCTCATCTGCTCATACAGACTCATGTTTGTGCTGCTGTTGTTTTGGTGCATTGTTTTTGTACCATTAGTGCTTAGTGTATTCTTAGTTTAGTGAATGTAGTATATCCTTAGTTCATGACTCGGATCTTACTAATGTTTTTCTTTACAATTTGTGTTTTTGTTGCATGTAACTGCGACCCTATGTACATAGTTCCGTCCCACCTTATGCATCACATGTGGTGTGTATGATAGAAAAATCTTTCTGACTCTGACTGGCCTGCAGACATGCTTTCTGCGATTAAAAGACTGCCATATATATTGAAAGACAAATGGCGATCAGCATCTTCTTCATTAGACTGTCATACAACAACAGTCTTCAGTCAGAGGCTTCTTCAAATCAGTTGTAGGACAGACCGCTACAAGAGATCCTTCCTGCCCACAGCCATGAGCATCTATAACAACTCTTTAATGAAACCAGGATGATGAGTTACCACAACATATAATTTCCCTCTGGGATTAATAAAGTATTTTTGAATTGAATTTGAATCATGTGACATCCAGGAGAAGCAGCATTGCAGAGCAAGATTTAGTGACATTGTTTCCTTCCTTGAACATCAAGTTAAAATTATTATAGATCCTGTCTTTGGAAATATATGTGATGCTCCATCAACACAATTGACAGCAAGGAGCAGCGATGGAGAGAAGCATTCTCCTTCTCCAAGAGCTAAAGGAAGCAGGTTCGGCACAACTGTCTCTGCTGTTGAGAGCAATAATCATCCAGAGGTTCAAGAGCATCACACGTCTGTGAAGATTTGTCTCGTAGACACATGCTGGAATCATGCTCTCTGCTTGATAAAAAAACGTCATAATGAGAAGATTTAATTTCTTAGGAAGAATGGCATCTATTTTGGCTGCCTGTGTACTGAGCACATCAGCAAAGAATGCAAAAAACGTTGGTTACGTACTGTAACCCCAGATTCTATGAGTATAGGCGTAGCCCTTTAAGGCCCTCGCTAGTGGGTTTTATCCCGTCATGCAAAGCATCGCACTGAAAAGTTTAGTCCACACCCACCTGTTGTGTGGGCCCCATCCGGTCCGTATAAATTACGTTAAGAGCGGGTAATTGGCTCGCAAATAGCTTTTTCTTCAGCCATTTAGGAGCCAGTGAGGTCCGGCGCTTAAAGGGCTACGCCTATACTCATAGAATCTGGGGTTACAGTACGTAACCAACGTTCTATTTCATATAGGCTTCGCCCTTTAAGGCCCTCGCTAGTGGGTTAAAAGGCAAAGCATGATGTGGTCCTCGCCTCACTGGGTCCATTCGAACACCATATGAAGCGCCTGCTTGCCAAAAAAATCTTGTCACTCAGCTCTCCATGTGCGTAATTACGCGTTGCGTAATTATGCGTACCATGCACAGACGCGTGCTGTGTATTTATGAGTTCTGAATGCATGAACGCCCCGGAAAACTTTCAACGGGGGAAGGAAGATGCTGAAAAAAGGCCGTGACCCAACAGATTCACGGCTGATCAATATGAACAGATTAATAATAACAAGTGAACTGATTATTAATCAAATGAACTGATTGGTAACAATAGTCATGAACTGATTAGTGACAATAGAACCAGAACAACAGTCACAACTTGTGACTGATAACAACATCTCACACTGTAAATGCATGCAGTCAAATGTGAGTTTAAACGAGGTTCCATGAAACAACAATATTCATTCTGTTAAGGCACTAAAGACAGAATGTGTCATGGAATAAGCCGTCACATCACGTAGATAAAAGCAAATAAATGAGCAGGGTTAGTGTTTCTGCTATGCATGAGGCTCAGTTGCCATCAGATTTTTGCTGACAAGTATTGGCGACTGTCAACCCGGCCGCAGTACAAATATCCTGCATTGTCATACCATTATGAAAAGCAGTCGAAGATGCAATACCTCTGGTCGAGTGTGCCCTGAGGTTGACAGGAGGCTCTAAATCTGATGCTCTGTAGGCTTCAGAAATGGCCTCACACAGCCAGTGTGACAGGCGCTGGGTGGATAACGGGCGACCTGCAGATGCATCTCTATAATGCACAAACAAATGTTGAGTTTGAAGCATTGCAGCCGTGCGCGCTATGTAACACGTCAACGCCCGCACAGGACAGAGAAGATGGAAAGATGCTTCTTCTTCTGATTTGTGGGGGGGGGGGGAAAAACCCCTCCAACGATATCGCTCTTGATTTAAAAGAGCTCGTGATGTTTTTAGGCATAAAGGCTGGATTCGGTCTTAGATCAGCTGAGCTGCCATCAGACTGAATTCTGAGACATGACGGAGTGACAGAGAGGGTAGATAAATCACTCACCCTCTTAGCGGATGTTAAAGCCTGAACCAGGGCTGTTTTAAGGGACAAAAATTTAATTGGAACCTGATACAGTGGCTTAAATGGAGCTTTGATCAGGGCCCGTAGGACCAGCGTTAAATCCCACTGTGGAGCAAGTGAGGGTGAAACAGGCCTGCGTCTCTGTACACCTTTTAAAAAACGCTTCATAAGCAGATGATTAAAAGCTGTTCTGTCCCCGAAATCTTCGTGACAAGAAGAGATGGCTGTAGCGTACGTTTTAATTGTGCTGAATGCCAGATTTCTGTCCATCAGCTGCTGCAGAAAGGACAGCACGCTACCTAGTGGACATGAAGTGGCCTCTACACCTTTCTCCGTACCCCAGCGCTGAAAAGCTGTCCACTTTGATGTGTACAGCACTGTGGTGGATGCAGCACGTGAATCCTGGATTGAGCGCACTACATCTTGAGGGAGGCCCATCCTCTCTAAGCGGATCCGCTCAGCGGCCAGACCCAAAGGTGCTGGCCTATTTCTGGGTAACTCCTGATCGCTCCTCCTGCCTGGAGGAGAGCGTCCTCCCTCCACAGCAGTTTCCACGGGTGCCCCAATAACAGGCATCGCAGAATTGGGAACCACGGGGCATTCACGTGCTCGGGAGCCACCAGGAGGGCTGTCAGTCCCTCCTCCCGAACTCGGTTCAGAAACCGTGATATCTGAGGGAGTGGGGAAATGCGTAAAGAAGCATTTTGGGCCATGGGCTGTGAGCAAACGCGTCCACCCCCTAGCGGTGGTTCGTCCCGCGGGCTCAGTGAGAACCATAGTTGACACTGAGCATTCTCTCGTGTGACAAACAGGTCCACGGCCACTCTGCCAAATTTCTGCCACGTCTGAGCCATCAGCTTGGGATGGAAGCTCCAGTCCCCATGACGCGGACCGCCCCAGGACTTCACATCCGCCCCCTCTTCAGAACACCGGGGATGTACACTGTTTAGATGGAGAGCAGATTTGGTGTGCCCAACACAGCAGCCATCTTGCAATGTGTAACATTTGGGCTGAGCACACACCCCCCCTGCCGGTTTATGTATGCTGCAGTCACTTGTTAACTGTGTAAATCAGAACATGTTGATTTCACAGCACAGGAGCAAAATCTTGAATCACATTCAAAACCGTGCGACATTCCAAAACATTTATATGAGCTGTTGTGTGGGGTGGCCACAGCGCCCCCCCAGCTCAAGACATGCATGTGCCTCCCCAGCCTGACAGGGACGTGTCTGTGAAAACTGAGACGTGTGATGTAGGTCTGCTGACGGGTACTCCCTCCGACAGAACAAGAGGGTTTCCCCAGTGTCTCAGGTCGATTCTCACGGAGGGGGGCACAGCGATCAACCATCTCCTCTGCCTCACTGGGTCCACACGCAAACGAGCAAACCACCTCTGGAGGTGTCGCACCGTGTGAGCAGACAACATCGTCCCTAATAACTTCATGACGGAAACAGCTGTTATCACTCTGCCGGTTTCATGTGGAGGAGCTGGTCCTTTAGAGCTTCGGTTTCCATCTGAGATAAACGAGCCCTCATAGTGACCGCATTTAGCTCCACTCCCAGATAAACGATCGTCTGGGCCGGGTGAACTGAGCTCTTCTCCCCGTTATGGTGAAGCCCAGATTTGCAGGTGTGACGTCAGCGCCTGAGTTTGCACTGCTGCATCCTGTCTGGAAATGGGTCAGCAGCAACAGATCGTCCAGATAAAACAGAATTCTCATCCCTGTTCTGTGTAGCGGCTGCAGAGCTGACTCCACGCATTTTGAATGGAATGTTTTTTAACAGCTGTCTGGTTGTCAACATGTGAAAATGTCTCTCCATGATCGACCTGTTGAAAATTGACAAATCCAAGATGGGTCTCATCCCTCCGGTCCGTTTTGAGACCAGGAAGTAACAAGAGTAAAACCCTGTGTTTTCCTCTCCGTCTAGAACCCTGGAAATTACATTTTTTATCAGAATTTCTTGAACTTCTGCGTGGAGGAACGAGATCTGTTCTGGAGATGACAGAACCATCTATAAAATTCCTCCAAATG